TTAAATTGCATAACTAGGCTACAATAAAAACATTTTTCTTGTATAAATATGAAGAACCGTAACAATCGTACTAGCTTAATCTCAACTGCTTGTCATGTCATTCTCTAATTTCATGAAATCTACAAATATACCTTTATCCCATAAGTACTGCATCAGTTAGAAGTTCACCACCTATTTCACATCCCAGCTAAAACAATTGATAAGAATCAACAGTAATTGTCATATCGTACTCCAAGATTCTTCTATGAATTCTTGTGCAGCAGCTGTACGGTTTTTGAAAAGGTTCAGTATAAGATTCGTTTTCCAATGCTGTGCATGTGCTTAGTCTTTTATGAAATCAATATCGATTTATCTGTAGGTGGATTCCGCAGAAAGCTCGAGAATCAGATATAAAGGTAGAAGTGTTGACCAAAATGGTTTCTATGTACAATTTTTATGTCTCAATGTATGTTTTTTGAACAAAATCTGTCATTCTTCCATCTACCTTATGGTTACGCCAATGTACGAAAATGCGGTAAACTTATGAAAATTTTTCTAGTTGCGATTGTAGGAGCTTGTGGTGCTCATCTTCTGTTCTGTGCTAATCAATACTATGCTCAACGTAATTTATGCTCAAAATACTATAAAGCACGTCTTTTTAGAAAAAGCAATTCACTTTTATTAGTTTTACAAATAAGTTTTCTTCATCATAAATTTGCGGATTAATGGCTACAGCTTTTTGAAGAAATATGTATGTGACATCTTCGGAGAAGGGAAAAAGGGCTCAACATTAACTATTTGTACAATTCGGTTTCTTTTCAAGTTATGATATCATGCTAAGCCTCTATTAACGCTATAGTTTGGCTAGATTCTTTTTACAGAATGTTGCTCTAGTAAGAGGTTTTGCAGGAGTGGATAACCGCGAGCAACTATCGTCAGAATGGCGTTATGCGGACTCGTATCGAACGTCGATGGCCCCGTTGGCGTCGTCCGAAGTGCTGGACGACGACTCGTCAGGAGGACCACGAGGCCGAGGATTCACACAACCGGCATCAGGCACTAGCAGCAGAGCTGGAGCTGTCTTGCAGCACCTCAGAGAACAGGTGTCCATTGTAACGCATTTCTTTGATCGCGTACTTCCTCTACGAAGAAACTCTGGCTACGTTACACAAAGTCATGAAGAATTCCCTCGACGTGTGCTTGTGAAATCTTAAGAAACGCTTGTACGTTGCTTCTGCATACAGGGTTCTTCTTTGAAAATAGGTTTAGTTTTTCGTTCTTTTGCTCACTGCAAGCCGTGCAGTAGTGTTTTCATGATTACAAGAAACTTAGCACATTGCATTTGAAATTCGATACGGACCACCTGGAAAAATCTATTTGCAGAATACAATTCTTGCCGCATTGTTGAAGTTTTTGGTATTCATTTGATTTCATTCCATTTTATTTTTACGCAAATCACAAGAAAAAGGAAAATGTTGGCTTTTCCCTTCATATCCATCAAAACATTAACATCTACAGAGGTGATATTAGTGCGTGTATGTTAAAACAGTAAAGAGACATTTGTAGGAAAAGCGAGTAAATACCAAGCCACGCTCAATTTGCTTCTTAAACTACTTCAATTTTATATGCTTCAAACTATGATTCATTGCGCTTTGTGAAGAAACAGGAGCCATGATATCGATATGACCTGAGTAATAGAACTCTGTTTGATTGATAAAATCATTTTTAACAGAATAGCATTTTCTGGAGTAGTGGAAAACTATCTCTACTTTTCTCTATGGTACCTAGCCTCAATATTAAACTCTCCTTATTTCAGGAATGGCTGTAAAATATGTACTGTAAAATATGTAAAAAA